CCCCAAAACCCCAAAACCCCAGTAATTGATATTAGATTTTAATATTGAGTAGGAAGGTTTGAATTAATAATTTAAATTCAAATTTTAGATTGATATCAAGAAAAGAGCGAAAATGACTACTGCAGATAGATTTAAGTTCATTAGAGAACTTGAGCTTACTAAAGAAAAGCAAACATTTGGAAGATCAAAGGAAGAATAAAAATTAGGAGTAAGACGAATAAATGCTAAATTATGAATATAGAAACTTGTTTATTGTCATTTCAGTTAAGTTAAGGAGTAGACTTAAAATGAGGTAGAGAAGCCATTTAAAGATTCAAATGATCAGTAATCTCACTTCAATATTCCAAAGAGAGACTAAAGATGTTATTTTAATGTAAAATTTATTATTTACAAGTGATCTCAATTAACAGGATAAAAGCTTAAGAATTTATTCTAGAGGAGGAGCAGAATTCATCATAACTTTACTATTTAAGATCATTGATGTATTTCCAATAGAAGATGGAGTCATCATAAAGACTGAGTACAACAAGGACCATTTAGTATTTGATCCATTCTCAATAAGAGCAGGAAATTAAAAGCAGCAGCCATAATTTGCCTATATGACTATTACTGGGCATCCTTTAAATGATGTACATCCTTTATCTTTTGGAGGGAAAAATGAGATGATTCAAACTAATCTTGACATCATTCAAGTCTCGTATAAGATACCATTCGTAGTACTATTTAACAACCAGAGTTTCCAATTATCATTTGGATTACTAAAACAGAAAAAAGAAGAGGTGAATCTTGATATATTTGAAGAAGGAGAAGCATATGTTAGAGGTATTGAACCAAACAGCAGACATCCTGAGATATACAACATCTCAAAAGAATACCAAATTTATGTTGAAGAGATACACTCATTTCCTATTCCTCTTGCACCTACATTTGTAGGAATATCATAAGGATTAATAAGTTCTTATGAAATGGTAGTCTACATCTATAACTCAAAACTTTAAACCCTAGATTTTTACTCAAGTGATATAAGATAGCCAAGATAATGGCAAAATTTAAACTCTATGACATCAATATAGGATGTCTGCATGATAAATTTTAGCAGACATGGGCACCAGAGTGATGATTCAATTAAAATTATTTCAAATAACCTAGCATTTTAGCTTTAAGTTCAATCTGATGATGCTTACTCCAACTCAAACGTCTAATATCTTAAGAAGAGATTGAGATTTTATAATAAAGATCTTATGATACTAGATTCAACTTAGAAGAATGCCATTTTTTATCATGGAGTCAATCAAATCTATAGTCTAGATCTAATTTAAATGGTTGATGGGTAATTATCAGTTTAAGAAAAGATTTAGGCTCAAAATGCTTCAATTATTGGATTAAAGCATAGTAGCAAGTCGAATGTATCATTAGCATTTTCTAATAGCTTCGAAAAAAGATTCAACTTTAGACTTTAGATTAATGACTTCTTAGTAAAATCCATATTGAAGACTTTAAAAAAGTTGCTTCCATCCAATCTTTTTGAGTCATTTTATTAGGACTATATAGATTCAATCACAAGATCAAGCTAAGAGTTCAAGCAAGGAAATGATAGCTAAGGATTTGATTAATTCAAAAGATTATAAAACTTAATTATTCAAATTATCTCAGGTGAGTCTACTGGAAATATAAAAAAGTTTACTAGCAATTAATCATCTGGTATATCATAAACAGTCTAATAGACCTAGCATTAGTAACAATAGATTAGCTAAACATAAAACAAACCTAATTAAACATTGCAGACTAAAATACTTAGAAGCTCAACTACAAATTTCAATGATAGTATTGCAAATAGAAGAAAAATTTAGACATCATCAAGTTCTTCTACTGGCTAATAGCAATAGTAATAGATTCAAAGAACTTAAGTCAAGTCTTAGACTGGCTCAACTTAAGTTTAGACCAGATAATCAATGCCTATTGCTGCTAATAAATCAAATTAACCAAAAAGACTAGCATCAGGAATAGAGTAATCGTAACCATTTTCTGTTGCTTCATCTGTTTCTCTATAAAACCAGAGCTAAAATCCTTTTATGGAATTACTAAACTCAGACTTCCATAAAGACAATTTCGGAACATAATTTTCCTCATTTTTCCCAAAAAATTTCGTAATAGCGATTCCATAGCCTGTGATATTGTCTTAGATTGATGAAAAGCCAACACAAGTTTCTATTTCCCCTACAAAGTCAAGTAATAGAGTTACAACTCAAAAGATTTCATCAACAAAGTAATCAAATACATTTTAGCCTACACACGAGAGAAAGAATTCTAATATTTAAAGTCCTTCTCCATCATAGTCATCTAGCATTCAATCACAAATCTAATAACAATAGCCTATTACGATTTAAGTTTAGCTTTAATCATTCCTCAGAACATCAAAGCAAGATTTTATGCCATTTATGAACAAAATTTTCGAATTATTGCATCTTATGTATGAAGATCTTAAACTCAACAACTTAAGAGATAGTACTGAAAGACCTAAACTTGCAAAATTACTTTTAAGATTAGCTTTGTTGATAGATCCTGTAAAAAAAGCTGCATTTGTCGAGTATTATCTCAAGGAAAATGATTTTTCTAAGTCTGAAATTGATAATGAAGTAAAGAGATATTACAAGGAAGGCTCTCTTCTTAAAAAGGGTGCTGAAATAGAGCCAGTTCCTAAGATTTATAAATGGATAGAATATTAATTAAAGAAATAGCTGGGTATGTTAAACTTTCCATTTTCCCTGTTCTTTGAGAAAACTAGGAAGATAGTTCGTCTTTATGAGCTGCTAAATGACTCTAGAAATAATTCAATCCTGAATGATAACTTGTTCATTAAATAGCACATTGAAGCTGATAATGATGCAATAAGAGAATTAATAATAAGAGGAGGAGCATATCAATCCGACTAAACTTATGGTCTATAAAGAGCCTCTGAATACTTAATGAATAATAGGTTAAAGGATTTACATCCCTTTGAAAAGATTCTTTTCTGCCTCAAAGATGAAAGTTTAAACATTGATGACCTCAAGAACATTCCAAGTATTGTAGCCTTGCCTATATTAGAAATAATTAGATTTGCAAGACTTTTTCAAAAGGACATCCAAACAGTAGCTCATTGGCCTGATTCTCTGTATAAGTTAATTCAAAGAGAAGATATTTTGAACAATCTTAGACTGTTTGAAAGAAATAATTAGCCTAAGGCTAAAAGTTTCAATTAAGAAACAGGGACAAATGTATAAAGATAAGCAAGTAAAAAATTTGCACTAAATAGAGGATTAACAAATGTTTTTGCTGATAATTCGATAGAAGAGATTTAGCAAGAGGAGCACAGAAAAGAAATGTAATCGAACATTATTAAAGCTACAGCAGATCTTATTTATCAGTAAACTAATAGCAGCTCTGAATTTGAAAATGGTCCCAAGAATACTTCAATTGTTGATTTCTTTAAAAACAGGTTCTCTCAAGATACAAGACTTAAAGAAGTTTAAAATATGCTGACCTCATCCTCTGAGATAATTGTAAAGCTCGAGCATATTCAAAATAGAGAAACACTTTCAGAAGAGGTTTTTAATACAGAGAAGCAAAAGCTCTTAGATAGAATGTTCTTAAGACATCTATCTAAATGTAATGGTAGAGGTGCCCTAACCTTTGGAACAATGCAGACTATTCCAACTGAAGTCTTGCATATTCCCAAGATTAATCCGACTGGTTATGCACCAATGAACGAATCATATATGTAAGTCGAATTTAAGGATGATGCTTAAAGCAAGGAGATGCTATAATGGCCTGAATTTCATAATGGTGTTGCAAGTGCTCTTAGAATTGCTTAAAGTTTTAGAAGAGATAGAGATAATAGTGGAGTTACATAATAACATACTAGAAACTGGATTATGTATCATAAACCACAAGAGCCAAAATATGAACATGGTGGATTTTTACTCGCTATCGGATTATTAGGTTAATTAGATACTCTTTAACCAACAGATATTTATCAGCATTTAAAGTCAACTCATGATGCTACAGCTATTGGAATGTTATTGGGAAGAGCTGCATCTAAGATTGGGACTATGGATGATCATGATACTAGAACTCTGTGTATCCACATCCCATATTTGCTTCCTCCAAGTTTGAGCATCGATATCTCTTTATCAATTCAATCAGCAGCAGTGGTTGGAGCAGGATTACTTTATAAAGGAACATCAAATAGATTAATGACTGAAATGCTTTTGGCTTAGATTGGAAGAAAACCATTATCAGATAAGGCCATTGAAAGAGAAGGTTATGCCCTAGCTTCAGGTATTGCTCTTGGATTAGTCAATTTGGGTGTCGGAAATTAAATGCAAGGACTTAGTGATCTTAAGCTAGATGAGAGATTAATAAGATATGTGGAGGGTGGCAAGATTATAGATTTACCTTAATCTATGCTCTCTTAAAATTTCAATCATGAAAATACACAAAAGCAAGGATCAGGATGTTCTTCAATCAAAGAAGGAGATATGGTAAATGTTCATATTACATCATAAGGAGCAATTGTTGCACTAGCATTAATTCATTTAAAGTCAAATAATCATCAGCTTGTGAATTAACTCTAAATGCCCTAGACTTTTTATTAACTTGAAAGTGTTAGACCATCTTTCTTGCTTGTAAAAACTCTATGTAGAAATCTAATAATGTGGGATCAAATCTAATGCTCAAAAGAATGGATCTCAACTTAGATTCCTTAGTTAATAAGAGAAATTTATGAGAATGATATCTAGACAGTACTAAAGAGAAATCATCAAAAATCTGTGATTGAAGATGGCATTGATTTTTCAACAGTGGCCTTATGTTATGTAAATATACTTGCAGGAGCAATATTCTCTATTGGATTTAAATATGTTGGCACAGGAAACAGACAAGCATTTCAATTAGTGAACGAGTATACCCAATTCTTCTTTAGAAAGTTAAAGATAGTCCAATCCAATAAAGATTCAATCGGAGTTATCCATACCAATTTTACTAAGAATCAAGTTGATAAAAGTACTGTCGAAACCTGCCTTTGTGTTTGTGCTTTTGCAATGAGTATGATAATGGCTGGTACTGGAGACATTGAATGCTTTAGAGCTTTAAGAGTCTTGAGAAAGAGATTCGAGTATGATATGCATTATGGATATAACATGGCTATCCATATGAGTCTTGGTTTTCTATTTTTGGGTACAGGAGCATTTACATTCAGCAACAATGATCTAGCTATTGCATCTCTGCTATGCTCATTATATCCAATATTCCCTTCAAATCCTAATGACAATAGACATCATCTTTAAGCATTGAGACATTTCTATGTTCTAGCTATAGAAACAAGACTTTTATAAGCAAGAGATATTGATAGTGGTGAATTCCTTCGAATTGATATGGAGGTTATTGTAGAAGAGACAAACTAAGCTGGTTAAGTTGAAATAAAAAATAAGTAAATAAAAACACCTGATATCATTAACGGAACAATAAAAAGTATTGAAATAAATAATGAGTAATATCACTCAGTAAGTATTGATTCCCTAGGTGAAAATGATAGCAATGATCAAAAAAATATTTTTGAGACTAAGAAACTCAAAATTTTTGAGCAATTCGGTTTTTAAAAAATAATTTACTTAAAGAAAAAAGCTTCAATAACCAATAATAGTTCTTCGTAAGGATACTAAAGCTAGAATTTTAATATAGATCTAGAGACAAAAATTCAAGAATCTGAATTGATGTAAAAGCTCTTAGCTTAAGAATATTCATCAGTTGATTTTGATCTCTTGGAATAATCAGATAAGGTTATTGAAAACCTAAATATGATAAAAGATCCTTCAATCAGTACGTTTTACAAATAATTTGCTGAGCTTAAATATTTTCAGAGTTCAACTAATTTCTCAGAAATTGAAGATGTATTGCTTGCTCAAAATAAAGATCCCCTAGGTTAACTAAGTCCTCAAGAATTCTTTAAAATTCAAGATACTTTTGATTCAATTTAACAGTCTTTAATCAAGAATTATCTCTTCTAAAATACCAAAGATAAGTTGAAAACCATGAAAGTCGTTTACAGTGCATATCATTCTGATCAATTAGACTTTATTAAAATCATGATGGAACTAGTACTCAATGGCTAATAAGATAAGATTGGTTTGCTAAAATCTTATCAGCATTTTAGAGAGAATCAGCCCTAGCTATCGAAACTGGAAAGAGATAGTATTCTTCTATTTAATGCAGATGAGAAAGATTCCTCTGTAGGGGACCTGAATTTATATTTGACAAGCATGCTTGATGATTTCACAAGTACTACCTCTTATAGCAAAAATTTAAAACAACCATATGATTTGTTTACCATCTCTCTCGCTAAATAGATTGCAGATAAACTTTTGAATGATCTAAATATGATGGGTGAAAATGAGCTGGTAAATGCTTATAGATAATAGAAAATAAAATCAGATCCTCTAGAAAATGGTCCCCTAATTGAGATTAATGAATCTCTTAAAATGGCTATCCAGGCTGTAATTGGAGATTTAGAGAATTTAAACGAAGCTTCTCTAATTGATAAGGTATTATTACCAGTAATACTCAAGTATTGATGCAAACTGAAAATTAAATTAATTTCATAAATCCTTTTGAACATCTAATTTACAACTTAAGGGGTTTTGGGGTTTTGGGGTTTTGGGGAGATCGGAAGAG